TCCGGGCACCTGAGAGCCTTTGTGGCTGTTCACGAACCCCAAACGGGCCTTCGGGCCTCTGTGGTTGTTCTTCTCAAACCCTTAAATAAAGCCTTGGGGCCTGTGTGGCTGATCTAGAATCCTTGTGCTTTCGGGTTGCTTTGCAGCTGTTCTGAAACCCTTTGAAGGTTCGTCTAACACCTCTAAACGAGCCTGTTGGACAGGCTCTGGGGGTCGGACCGTGTTCTAAAACTGGCTATTCGTTGGACAGCCTCCGGGTGTCTGAGAAGAGGTTGTATGGCTGTTTCAAAAAACTTCTGCAAGCAAGTAACTATGCTTGAAACCCCGACCCGAAGCCGAAGGTTTACAGTTCGCTGTCGCAGGTTTAGAGTTCGCTGTCGCCTAGCTCCGCCCCCTACTCCGACAGCACTTTCGTGCAAAGTCTTCCAGCCGGGACGGGACGGAGCTCGAACGCACAGGGTGTGTAATTCATGTTTTCCAGACAGACTCTTTCTTTCGCAGCATCGAGTTGCGATCTGGCACCACTATGTAGAAGACTGCGGTAACCGTGGTCAATCCCAACCTTCAATGTCCCAGTGAAACCTTAACTCCATATCGCTTCAAGTTCTTCTCGAAGAAACGCCAGCGCTAGTGTGAAACCTGCACCCACCCTCTGTCCTGTCCCGTGCAGCTCCTCGCCACGTGCAGCGCTGCCGTGGCCAGCCATCAGCTGCTGCCTCCAAGCGACCCTCTTCATCAGTTGGATGCTGTTGCTGACTAAGCCCTAGATCTGTGTGGCTGGCATGCCTTGTGGTATATTTACGTGAAGTCATTCGACTGAGATCAGTATGCACTCTTGCTGCTGTTGTTGTTTTTGCTCTGTATAGTCCATTCTGATTCTGCCACTGAAACCCAAACCTTAACATAGCAAGGATGCCACAACCGCCGATGTTCCCAGATGATTTTTGAGAGTGTGAGCGGAATTCAGCAGCACTAGCTCATTAACTAGCGCCACTAGCTAGATTGCCTGCCAACAACAGTATCAGAGACAGTGCGCATTGGAGGGTTTTGGCGGCCACATCGACATGGCTCCCTGAGGGAAACTTTCACCCCCTTACAGGTCGCCTGCGGGGAGGTCTTGAACCCGTTACAAGGGGCTTTCTGCGCACTTGTAAACGTCGTGGTTGTAGGTTCCTGTTGCAATGGAGTTTCCATCACTCGTTCATGTAATAGTGGCTTGAAGCTGCGATCAACCGCTACAACTTGTCTGGTACAACTGTAGTCACCCGTCCGCTGATCACTGGCCAGTTTTGCGTTCAACCCCAAAGCCCCCAGGGTTCTGGGCCCTTTAAGACCCCGTGTGATTGCCTCCGCACTCGGGCGACCTACCGACTCGGGACGACCTCAAACATGCGCCAGCGAACGCGTCGAAGACTCGGAAGAGAAAGAAGGCCTGGCATGAAAAAGCCGCAGCTTTAGGGTTTTATGTTGGGGCTTTAGAGGTCTGTTCTTTCGTTTCACTCCCACGCAACGAGAGTTCTCAAGGTTCCTTTAAACTACAGGCGGAGATTTGCCCCATGACCCAGGTCTGTCAGCTCAAGCCCATTTATGACTCCATGACACCCCAGCCCCAAAATCCTGCGATTCGCAACTGGGGCAGCTTCCCTCACCAAAGGCGGCACTGCTGCTGGCCTGGTGGCACATCCTCGTCTGTTGGGGCTATACGCTGAAATCAGACATGGAAGAAACTCAAGTCAGTGCAAACCCACAGCAGAAGTCCCCAATGCTTCGGGTCTCGGGCTCACAGTTGCTTTTCGTTGCGGAGTTGCGCTTTGGAGCAACCATTCTTGAGACACCTATCCAACAAGAAAGTCCAGACGCTCGCAGCTGTGTAGAGACCCCGGCCTTGGGATTCTCCGAGAAACCTCAGCTCCCGAGACCTCTTGCTCTGTCAAACTTTCAAACTATGCCGGGTTTTTTCGGCTGCTTTCAAAGCAACCCTAGAGAAGCAGACCTTCCCTCAGCCTTGCATGCGCCGGCTTCGGTGCACATGGCCATGGCGACGGATGGAGGCCCGTTATCGGAGCCATGAGCACGATTCTGTAGGAGTCTGTCCGCACTGTTCAGGGCTTCATTCTAGATGCTGGCAAGGGACGGTCTGTCGGTTAGCCCAAGCATCTGGAGCCCTACAACATAAGCTCGCCCTCTTACCTTGCAGTCAAGTGAAGGACATCTGTGGAGCAGTCACATGCAAGCTACGCATTCTCGTGCAGCCTGCTCAACTTCTGCAACCCCTACTCTAAAACATTCTTAAAACCTATTCAGCAAATCTTGTATGTACACAAGCACTCGCAAGTGCCGCAGGCCGGGAATTTCTCGTCCTCTTCGCGCACCACAACATGTACTTCAACATGCGGCCGCAAGCCCAGTTCATCGCCGCTGCTGCTGCTGCTGCTGCTTCTGCTGCTGCTGCTGCTGCTGCTGCTGCTGCCACGATGACTTGTTGCCCCAACAGTTGAAAACAATTGCACGAGCGAGACTCTACGTTGAGTTCTATGTGTATCTAGGTTGTGGCGGCTTTTTCGTCATGTTTATATATGGAGCTGGTGCAGAAGCCAGAGCATTTGAGGTTCCAGGAGTTGGAATCTGTGGCAGCGCTCCTCGGAGTGAGTACGCAGGAGCTCTATGCGGAGGCCGGTCTCGAACTCTGCAGCTTCTGCAAGAGTTTAAGGCGTGTTCGGGGAAAAGGCTCACAAGTGTTCCCAAGGCAAAGTTAAGTGGGGCTTGGAAAGTAAGTAGGCCATGCTGCAAGGTTTAGCTTGAGGCTTGTATGCAGGTCCGGTACTGGTTGGGATGTCGCCAGAGCTTGGGATGTAATAGTTCAAGCTTTCAGGACCTTCGGGGCAGAGCTTGGTCGGGCTGCCAGCTTGTTTCCAAACCGTCAGGCAGCCGGAGTTTGGGTGTTTGCGTAAGCAGCTTGTGTGTATGCTTCATACCTACCGATGGTCCTTAAGTCATTCACGGGCACGCACCTCCCCTTCCCCGACAGCTTCCCCGACAGCCACAGAGAGAGGGGCACAAACAAAGAGATACATAAACAATGCCAGAGAACAAGAGCCGACTTTTAATTTGCGCTGGAAGCAGGACGGATGGGCCCTCTACGAGCGGCGAGGGAGGGGGGGGGGGTTAGGGGGAATACCCTTGCCCTAGGCCTCGAGCAAGCAAGCGAGCGAGGGCCAGCGAGGGAGAGAGAGAGTGGGTTATTCCCCCTCACCATAGCCCTGGAGAAAGAAAGAGAGTGACAGAGACGGGCAGGCATACAGACTGAGACACACATGCATGCAAACCGGCAGGTACACAGACATGCATTCGCCAAGGCACATGTGCGTTAGACACGCAGGTATGCATGCAGGTATGCATGCAGGCTCGCATAGATAAGCACCTGCATACACACAGTATGAGTAGACAATCAAAAGCTTACTTATTCTTTGACTCCTCCGCCTCTTGCTTTATGAATCACACATGCAGAACCACGCATAACTTGTCGATTCCAGCACCTAATACCGAATTCACGACCGGAAATGGCACCTGCACGCACAAACATGTGCGCACCTGCAAAAAGAGCCAGCTGAACCCTGATAAGAAGCGAGGAAAAGCCGACGTCACTGTCTGCCTCCATGGCGGTTCTGGTGAGACTACCTGGCGGCGAGGCTAATTACTCTTCAGTCCGATCCTGCCGAATCACGGTTTAGGTTTTTGCCGTACAGCCAGACAGCTCCAGATTTTGATCTTGAAGGCAGCAAGAAAGAACGCCCTGCCAAGTACCGTTCGAGTTCAAGGTTGTGTAGTCTTGATCTAATGTAGTCTTCGGTCAGTTTTCATGCACCTCGTGGAACCGCCTCAACTGGTGCATGCATTTGTTTGAGATGTTGTTGTAAGCGGCGCACCAGCATGATGATATTTTGGTGGCAGCAAGCCGCCACGCCAGAGTAGGCCCTTACCACGACAGGGTTCAGGTGCAAGCTTTTTTCTTACTGACAAGAGTTTAGGTTCAATCCTATAGCAGTGTGTGTGTGTGTGTGTGTTTTTTTTTGGGG